TCTACTTTTGTTTGAAACATTTTCCCATATCTTTTATACTTCACGAGATATTTCGATGCTAAAATTAAAATGGAACTCCTGTATACTTAAAGATTTTTAGTACTGCCAGTATATATCAAAATACAATCTTAGAAAGAAATACTTGTCTTGAATATGTTACGATATATATTTACAAATTTAAATGGCTAGATATTTCTGTTCCCCTTACATTAATTGAACAAATTAGTCTTTATATATGCAGCTATTTATTATTATATTTTACATATAATACATAATTTTATATATTGTTAATAGCAATCTTTATTAATTTATAATTTTGTTGTAAAATAAGTTACTTTAAATTCATTTCACATTTTCATGATAAACTTACCTAATGTTTTTCTACCGATTAAAAGATGATATCAGAAACATTCTTTTTGATTACAAAAACAATTATTTAATAAAAATATTTTTTTCCACACATGCTTTCAGTGACATTAGAAGTTAATTGTAAAATGGAAGATCATCCTTATACAACTTTAAATTCATTTACATATGTTGATTGTGTGAAATCTTCATCTGAAAATGTTATTGAAGGAAAAGAGAGTGACGATTTTCTTATACAATTATATAAGGAACGAAGATATTTATATGATAAAAGTCATAAGGATTTTCAGAATAAACAGATAAAAGAAAATGCGTGGTTTGAAATTTCTACTATCATGCAACAAAAAAATCTAGGTTAATACTTTTACATTATTATAATAGCTACGTTATCTTGGGAACAAGCTACGTCATTTTGTCGTTATTTTGACGTCAGTTTGCTACCAGAACCCCGTAGCAAAGGGTCACAGTTATGTCACAATTGAGTCACTATAGGAAGAAAATCATTAGGAAGAAAATATTGCATGATATCACTATGAGATTGTCATAACAAAATAACACAGTAGGGAGATGCTCATTCTCAGTTATATTATTGTTTTTAAATCTATTATTTAAAGTCTTATTGTTTTTAAAATCTATTATTTAAAATCTTATTGTTTTTAAAATCTATTATTTAAAGTCTATTATTGTTTTTAAAATAATATTATACATGTTACAAAGACATTCGCATATCATCATGACATTGCTGTGACATTACATTATGATAAAGCAGACATTCTCACATCACCATGACGTAACTATAATTGTTGTGATGTAACTGTGATATTTTTTTACTATGGAGTAATATGATATACATTAGTGTATGTATATTTAGATTTTACGAATAACTAAATTAATATTTATTACAATTTGTATTTTTTTTTATAGGTAAGCGCTACACACCTAAATATTGTCAAACAAGATGTACTTCTTTAAGAGATCAATATAGTCGTGAAAAAAGAAATATTAGAAATAATTTCAAAAATGGAAGTACTTGTTCAAAACGGAGAACATTTCCATTTTTTACTCAACTATCTTTTCTTGACAATTTTATTAAAAGGAGACGGTAAGTGATATTACATTATAAAATTGGTTAAAATAATTTTTTTTTAATTGAGAATGTTTAGAAATGTTTTGTTACTTTTTTAGAACTTTTTCCAACGTTGAACGAAACAGAAACGCACTTCAATCCATAAAAGACACAGAAGTAGTAACACATGAAGATAACAATAATAATGAATCTACTAGCGAATCGGAGGATGAACAGCAAAATACTGTCAAAGTGCCTCAGAAAAGAATTATTAGTATGTTTCAAGATACACCTCGAGACATGGAAAATCTTGAGCAAGTATATGACCGAGATAGTAACCGTACCAAACAAATAAATGGTTTAAGGTTTAAAAGACGTAAAATTGAAGAATCAAAAAGTATTGATGATACATTGACGAATATCAGTAAAACAATTCTGAATTTTCTCAAAAGTACGAAAAAAAATACTACAGATAATATAAAAACAATTGATCAATCATTTGCTAATTATATTCGCGTACATTTAGAAAATATTTCAGAACCTGAAAAAACAGTAAGAAAAAAGATGATAATTGATGCCCTTACTGCACCACTACCCAAAAAGTAAGGACAATTACTGTATTTTTTTTTAAATCCTGGTGAAAATTTTTCTGTTTTTCATATAATTTTTTAAGAATTTCTATATGTGTAATTTTTCTATATAAGATATATACTTTGATCAAATATATACCTTGATCAAAAAGTTCCCGGAATCAGGTGATGCTCTGAGTCAGCTGATTTGAGTTCTGTTTTTTTTATTAGGTTGCCACATCTATCATTGACATTTCCATCAAATTTTATCGCCATAGCTTGACATTTGTAAAAGTTACGCCGTCTTGAGTACATCTACCTCTGCACGTGTTTTCGATTTTTTACAGTTTTAAAAATGGAGTTGAATTTGCAACGAGTTTGTATTAAATTTTTTGACCAAGAACGAAACGAATACCATCCAACAGCCATCGAATTCACCTGATATGGCTCCCTGCGATTTTTTTCTGTTCGATCGAGTCAAAAAACCACTACTAAGAGGTAATGGAAAAATCGAAGACGGCTCTGATGGCTATACCGACAATAGAGTTCCAGAAATGTTTCGAGAGCTGGAGTCGATAGAGAATACTTTGAAGGAGACAACATCACTTTTGATGAATAAACTTGTATTTTGAATTTTCTGAATGAATTCCGGAAACTTTTTGATCAAGGTATATATATAATTTCTATATAACTTTTATAACTTTTTCACATTTTTTACATGAATTGGAACACTTCTCAGAAAATCTACATCTTTTCTCAGAATTTTCCATATATGTTAATTATGAAATATCGTAAGATATATTTCTAAGATTTTTTGTAAGTACAATTTCTGATAAAATGTTATAAAATCTAAAATATTTAAAAATATTTTTTAAAAATATCATGGGAGAAAAATCTCAAAATATTTCAGAATTCACATGAAAAATTCTGAGAGATGTAAATTTTCTGAATATTTCTGAGTATTTTTGAAAAACGTTCCAATTTGTATAAAAATTATAAGAAAAATTTTCACTAAGAAACTTTCTTAAAATTATGCTTTAATATTGTGATTTAAATTTGTGTTTAAAAAATGGCTAACTAGTATTATAAAACTTTTTATTGTAATATTCTGTAGCATTAGCGGCACTCTTATATGATAAATAATTATTAAAATAAAGATATATTATCTGTTGTTATTTTTTTATTTTATACGTGATATACCTATGTAAAACATCATGAAATACTGATGAAATAGTTATTTCATCATTTAGCTATCATATATTTTAATAAGTGTATTTTAAAAATGGTGTTAAATAAGTAAAAGCATTTTAATACACATCAAAATTATTATAAATAATAAATACATAAGTGCTTTACATTCCAAATAGAACATCACGTCACGATATATCAAAATGGTGTGAAGATGACATCATTTTGACATTATCGTGACTTGTTGTTCTACTTGGGATACAGGACTAAATATTTTAGCATTTTTTAACTAAAAGTTTTATTTAAAAATTTAGATATTTCATTTATGCGTGTAAAACTATAGTTTTTTAAACTGTCCCTATAACCTTCTCTGCAATCACAAATGTTGACAGATTATGTTTACTGATTTGCTAGTACTGTGTTACAAACTGTTGCTTTAAATTTAGAAATGAGTGTCCGTTTTTGGGTCAATACATTTAAGTACTTTACCCAGGAATTGGACAAGGTTGCGCGATTTGCCAAATAAGTACCGAATTTTATATTTTAAATAACGAGGATCACTTTTAATTATTTTAAAATTGGGATAATTAATTTGATAATCAATTTTAATTAGTCTATAATTTAGAATAGGTTTATCTTTACTATAACCAACCTTATTACTTTTGTTATTAATAAAGTTTTTATTTTGGGAAATGTCTGGATGGATTTCGATTGAATTTTGGAATTGATGAAGTTTTTGATAAAGCGGGAAAGGATCAATATTTAAAAATAAACTTTGTTTGATTAGAAATTTGATCCTTTTAATCTGATGGACACGCCATCCGGTCCTTTTAGCGTTCAAAACTGAATTGTAACTAAAGTAAGCTTGGTTTAAGAAGTAAGAGTAAGAAATTGACCAATCAGAGTCGATTATTCTTTTCACAATCAACCGTGATTGGTCAATTTCTGACTCTTCTTAAACCAAGCTTACATACACTTCGCATATTGTAAACGACGCCTTATTACTATAAGGGTAAATTTTCACGAGCTGCTTAAACAGGCTGTTTAAGCGACAAAAAAGATCCCGTGGTCAAAATTGACGAATATCAAGCGTCCATTTTGATCACGTGATCCTTTTTGTCACAGGCTGCGGTCCACTTGACGCTACAAACTCTTCAAACCGTTTGAACGACCAATCAGAACAAAGAATTTTACAAATTGACTAATCAAAGAATACTTCGAAGCGTTTGTAGCGTCAAGTGGACCACATTCTGAAATAGCCGGTTTAAGCAGCTCGTGAAAATTTATCTTATGCGTCGTCTACGACTGCTTTCCTTTTAGGAGACACAGTCGACACAAGTGTCGTTCTATCTTTATCACTCTCTGAATGTCAAGGATAGAATAACGCTTGTGTCGATTTGTGTCATCAAATGGAAAGCAGCGTACAATATGCGAAGTAAGTTTGGTTTAAGAAGTAAGAGTAAGAAATTGACCAATCACGGTCGAATGTGAGAAGAATTGACTGTGATTGGTCAATTTCTTACTCTTGCTTCTTAAAACAAGCTTACTACGTGTATTGTAGACGGGCCATAAGGCGTCGTAGAAATTGGTCCGAGATCTCGGAGAGAGAAAGAATTAACCAATCACATTTAAACAATTTAGTCACATGATCAATGCGATTGGTCAATTCTTTCTTCATCCGAGATCTCGGACGGATTTCTAGCATCGTGGACACTGGGCTTTAGACCATCTCGAATCTTGAGCAACTTCTATGGATTCCGCCCTACATATAATCGCATCCATGATGTAAGATCGCATCGTTACTCGCTCTAAATTGTTCCGCTTAATTCGTTATGGCTATGTGTGTGTTTGTGTAGTGTTTGTGCCGTTTGTGGTGACAAGAAATGATAAAATGAGCATCGTGGACGAAACGTCGAATGAGCCAATACTGTACGAACTATTGGAATATTTTGTTCGTAAGCAGGAACCGGAATTGATAGTAAGTTGGAATTAATAACAAGATGTCAAATTGGTAATTATTTAGGGTAATTATTTAGAATACCATACCCATCTAAAATCTTAATAAAAATACACTCGTTCGACTCGTTTTCACTCAAAATGAAAGAATCTGGCAAAAAAAAAAAATGCGGCGGTCGGCCTCGTGAACCGAAATTAAGCGTTAAAGTTCGAGATTTTAGAGGTTAAGATATCTGTCATCCCGACTCAATATAGCGCTATGTATACGTTCTGCTTTAATTACACAAATTCACTGCTTTAAAAATATAAATTCACTGCTTTAAGCACACAAACAATTTGCTTCAAACAAAATGACAAATGCGATTGGTTAATTCCGATGGACTAACTGGTCAGTTAAGTTAACTGAGCTTGGTGACAGTGGAGACGTAAGAATTTGATCAATTATAGTCGAATTCAAGGAGAATAATCGACTATGATTCGTAGATTTCTTATGACTTAAGGCTTAGAACTCTATTGTAGATCCGGGGTAACGCACAGGAACTGTCTTAAGACGGGCGGCGAAATCACCACTCTATGGCCACAAATAGAAAATGCGAAAAAACATGCTCGATTTTTGGCCAGCTTGTTTATTTATAAAAAACAAATTAATTTTATAAAATTGCGTTAATAGAATTCATTTTAAAAGAAACTTGCACACATCTCATTTCTACTTTGCCGGCATTTAGGCTGCGCGCGGATTGGTGAAATGAGGGGCAGGAATCAAACTGAAAATCGGCCGAAATGTGCAACTAAATCCCAGTTCTGTTTTATATATAATACGAAACGTAGAATATATCACTATACTAATAAAAAAGGTATAGGTAATACAGTTATGTTGACGAATACGAATATATGTATCCGGGTAATATGGATATGCGGATGATACGGGTATTATTAGCTTTACTTTAACTTACAATTAGTCATTTAGTACATTCATGCAGAGGGAAATTACAGGACTACAGAACATTATTGTAGCTGTATCTCTAAAATGTTCCATATTTTAGAAATGCAAGAACGACGCGGCTATCCTCCCAACTACTGGCACAATAAAAAATGCTCTCAGGTATCTCAACAACAGGTACTCCCTACCTGAGAGCATCTCGCAGCAAGTTAGTCTCACTCTACCTTGGAAATTTGCTGTGGGAGATCACGGTCGAGTACTTGCTATTTTACAAGAGAATATCATTGAAATACGAAAGGCTAAAGATGAATATTCTTCCATAGTAGGAAAAGCATCTGGTAAATAATGTATAAATATATATTATCAGTACTATTAACGTTTTTTGATAGATATTTTTCTATTTGTTTTGTATGTAAAATACTTAAGTATCACACGTAAAAGAATTTTAGTCGTAATTGTAGAGCAAATCATAAGCAAATCGATCAATCACAGTTAAAATTATTATCTTATATTTTAGAACGCTTGATCACGATTGATCGATATGCTTATGATATTATGATTACGCTAAAACTTTTTTAAATATGATGGTCTAATGTATTTTCTAGCTCCAAAGGATGCCTTTCCTCAGTGGCGTAAACTTGCCTGGAGTCCCGATGGAATGATCTTAGCATTGGCGTCTAGTAGCGGCTATACATCTTTTTACAATGCATTAGGAAATAATATTTTTAATATAAGCCCGAAAACAATTTCACAAGTTCCTCATATTCTTGAAGCTGGTGACGCTATAGCATCCATGCTATTTCTTAAGCCAAAGATAACGAGTGAAAAATGGATCTATGAGTTTATTTTAATTTCGTACAGCGGGTTGCTAAGGTCTTATCATATTTCTACAAGTGGTTTCAGTGCAAATTATAACTTTTCTTTTGGCAATTTTTACAAAAATGGTGTTAACATTGTTGTCTATGATGAAAAACATAATTTATTTTATGTTGCTGGAAATATGTTAACACAAAAATTGACGGTAAATATATATATATATATATATATACACTGCCGCTCACACACACACGGAAGTTCGAACACTTGCATACATTTTATTGAATGGTCATGCAAATACATTATAAAACAACAATTGTGTTCTTCTTTAACTGTGTTCTTCTTAAAAATAGGGTAAAATGTCTCAAAAAACATTCGAGACGTTTTACCTTATTTTTTCTTTGTAAAAGAGGTTTTCGTAAAGCAACACGTCCATGTAAGCCCACTTCTTGCAACCGACGTTTTACTACTTACAGAAATTGCTTTTCCGTGGCCGCGATTGAATTCAGCGGCTATTTTCTGTTGAAAATGATGAATTGTATCTTCAATTGTTGACTTTGGAATTCCAACCTTTTGACTGATTTGTCGGACAGAATATTTTTCTTCGTGAAGAGTAATAATCTTGGAACGCTTCTCAATATCTATTGGCTTTCCTCGCGGCATTTAAAAAAACTTTTCTTTATAAGCTCTATTTGCTTAACCTTGTGCTATGCAGTGACGTCTGATAGATGTTTACTTCACGCTGTATGCAGGTTACAACACGTGAGGATAGGTGGGAAACAGGCTGCAACGACTACGTTCCGTTTCACGCATAAGGCCTGTTCTTTTTGGCTGAAATTTTGCACCAGTTCATCTTTCTTCCTTTTCTCTCCAGAAGGAAAGATTTTGGGGGAGTGAGGGTGAGAGTGGTGGGAGTGGATGGCATATTGTTATCTAAAATCTCTTGATTTATTACAGAAACTTGATTTTGAGGCATTAATAAAATAAAACTTTAAACGGTTATAATAAAAAAAGCTGGTCATTTTCAAGCTTTGTGCCTATGGACATTTTTGATCAGTGAATCAAGAACTATAACATATAATTTAAATTAAAATTTCAGCTAATTTCACCGAGGGCCAAAATCCTATGATTTTGTGCGGGGTCCTTTATCGATTATACTATCAATGTTCTATAGAAAAAAGATGATATATTTTGATATATAAAATTAAAAATAATTTATAAAGCTTTTACAACCGGTGTCAGTATATGCACAAGTATCCTAAAATAAAAAAAGAAGAACATAATTGTTGTTTTATAATGTTCTAATTCTTTACATGATCATTCAATAAAATTTATACGGGTATCTGAACTTCCGTGAGCGGCAGTGTATATATAAATATGATACATAATCTTTTAAATGTAAATATATTTGTATATTGTTTCAGTCTACTGCATCTGAATCTGGATTAACTTCGTGGCGACTCTTGAATGATTATCCATACTGCAAATTATCGTTTACATTTGAAGATTCTGCCACTAGTAATTCGCGATTTTCTATATGGAATTTAATTCCTATTTTCAGTTTTCAATCAGAGTCAATTATATTTTCCATAAAAATTTCGCCAAATGGCGAGTTTCTGGTTTGTTTGCATATGGATGGTTCAGTTTCGCTGTGGAGTTTGCCAAACTTAATATTACAAAAAAAATGGAAGTTGTCTGAACAGCCGGAATATGATATATCTAATCCTTTAGGATTTACGAAATCTAAAAAATTTCCACCAGGATTTACAGAATTTCATCCAACAGATATCGGCTGGTGGAATGATCAGGTAAAATATTTGGTCATTTAAAAATATAAAGTTAAACATCTTTTAAGTAATGTTAATTTTTTACTATTTAAATCAAGGATAAAACTTGGGATAAAAGGACATGAGCCACGTCAGTTGTATTCATATTACAATAATGCATTATTTAAACGAATTTCATCGTATCTATTATCATTTAATAAGCTGTTGTGAATTTGCAAAATATAATAAGTTGTGTATGATTTCGAAGCATGTTAAGTAACATAGGACGAATTTAATTAAATAATATATTATTGTTGTACATAAGTACAACTGGCGTTAGTTCATTTTCCTTTTACCTTTGATTACAATTTTCAGTTAGCAAAGCTTTACTAATATTCTATATGTATATATATATATATGTCTGTTTTAAGGCTATTATAATAGCTCGATATTCAGGTTCCACTTCAGTCTGCTCTATGTGGAACTTAAAAAATCTATTAGGTGTTAGTCCAGAATTTCTAGCAGGACAACCACAAATATGCGAGCTTGGTTTAGAAAAAGGATTTTTATGTTTAGATTGTGAAATCTTTATTACAAGTAAAAAACGAAGTCGAGAACCCAACGACGGTCATTTGTCAGGTTTGTTTATGATATATATATTTATCGTTTACTATTCTATATTTACGCAATATAACTATCTTATGTATAATATTATTATATATTAGCCATTATTAGCTAATTCTATACATATATGATCTCTTGATTAAGAATGTGGAAATTTATCATATGTATGTAGATAACAAAATCAATTTATTTCATTTTATAATAAATAGTTCTTTAATCTTGTATAAAGAAGCATCATCTGAAAGTGAGAAGGACGATGATGAGTTGGAACCTGTTACTATATTAAATTATACTACGAATTTGGTACAAAGCACGTTGTATTCAATAACCGATATTGAAAGATTTCAACCAAGAAGAAAGAAATCGAAAGTATTGCATCGAACTTATAGAATTTTGGGCTTAAAAAGCACTACTCCGGAAGAGCTATACTCTAGAAAAATAGACATTGAGGTATAAAGTTTTATTTAATTTAGTTATTGATCAACTTTTATTTATTAAATAACTAATAGGTTTTATTTTAGGAATACGAGGAAGCTTTAGCTTTAGCGAACACATATAATTTGGATACAGATCTTGTATACCAAACTCAGTGGAGAAAGTCAGAATTATCATTGAATGCCATTGCAGAACATTTGAGTAAAATAAGCAAAAGATCTTGGGTTTTAAATGAATGTGTTATACGCGTTCCCGATACTATGGAAGCTGCAAGGGAATTGTTAAATTTCGGATTGAGAGGCGCAAATCTAGAAACTTTAGTAGCTATCGATATTTGCGATAATGACAAATTTGTAACTTCCGATACAGATGACGATTGGCAAACGCTAGATCAAATTACTGTAAGTTTAAGACAGGTAAGCAAAACCATATACTATGATAATATGTCTTATAAAATACATAGCATTACTTACATATTATGTTATAAGGAAAAATTGGACAAACTTAATTCAATTTGGAAATCGGTAATAGGTACAGAAAGTCAATGAAATGCTTGAAAAAATAGACATAAAAAATTTATCTGAGGCCCAGAAAGATTTAATTAAGTATCGGAGGAAACTTCTAAATCATTTAGACAAATTGCTCACGTATGAAATTATATTAGAGTCGCCACTCAAATACAAGAAAGAATTTTATGAAGAGTTTCGAAGGTTGTCACCTATTACAAATGCAATTAGGTATTAATATCATAACATACTTTATCACTGATGTATTAAATAGTATATATTTTTTTTGTTACAAATATTTTTTTAAATTATAGATTTGCTAAAGATAGTGATTATCGAGCTGTTGAAATTATGTTTACCTATTATGGAGAAACTTTGTTGCCTCATTGGCTAGCAATTATCAGCTTTTTTCCAGAAACTTTGAATACATTAGATTACCAAAAATTGCTACCAGAATGCGATTCAGAAGGTCAATTATTTTTGTTAGATCAACGTGAATTACGACAAAAAGATTGGTCAGAAAAACACGAGTTTAACGAAATAATAAATTTCGATTTAGATGATCGAGCAGAAATATTATATGAATTGGATCCCTCATTATTAATATATAGGTAAGAATACTTTGTATTATACAGGGTGTCCCGATTTTAAATGACCAAACTTTGAGAGTGTGTAAGAAATCGGTAAGTTAAGAAAAAAGTCCTTTAAAGATATGTCATTTTTGTTTTGTTTTAGAGAAAATCGCAGAAAAAGACAAAACGTAGTTTTCATTTTTGTATTTATTTATTCATTTACACTTATTTATTCACGTTGTCACTTGCTTAATGTAGATATCGTTCAAAATGTTGGCCTCTTGCAGCAATGTACGCATTGCAGCTCGTATTGCAAACACTGATCTGGTCAATATAACGATTCACCGATCCGGCACTTTTCTGTCTGGAAATCGGCGCACATACTCTCGCACTGCCTCTGAAGCATTATCGTTGAAATCATACACGAAAATAATAATATTCCTTTGAAAACAATATTTTGAAAATTACATTTTGTCTTTTTTTGCGATTTTCTCCAAAACAAAGCAAAAACGAGCATATTCTTAAAGGACTTTTTTTCTTAGTTTACTGATTCCTTACACGCTGCTGAAGTTTGGCCATACAAATTCAGGACATCGTGTGTTATCCGCATTTTCTATTTAGTATTTATATTATCTAATCATCATTATTTTTCCTTTAGAAATACACAGCTTACACCAGATTTATTACAAAAATGGTATAGGACTCGTGCTTATGAAATTGAAAAGAATAGCTCTTTAGTAGATAATGCTTTGCAGTTAGTTAAAATTGGAAAGTCTCATAATATTAAAAGCCTGGAAGATTTGTTATTAGAATTGGAAACTTTAGACGATCTTGTGTACACAGTACATTTGGAGAATATGCCATTAGATAAATTAGAAAAAATGAGCAACATGGAGAAGATAAAACTTTTGATGAGTACATCAAATGAAGTAAATTTTGTTGAAAATATAAAGAATCTTTTATTGCCTTTTATTAAACGAAGGCATCAATATTTGGTGTGTATAGCAAAATTTAGGTCACTGAAATTATACATATATTTATACACATAGAATGATATTATTTTTATATAAATTTTACATAAATTTTTATATAAATTTTAGGGTGGAGATCTTCAGAAATTCTTACTAAGTGATTATCTAATCTGCTTAAGCAAAGACGATTTGACGTTTCCAGTTAAATTCTTTGAGTGTTTAAAACAAACGCAGGATATTGAAATAATTGAATTGATAGATGATGTTACTTTAGCTTTAGATTGTATATATGCCTGTGACAATCTTGATATGTATGAAAAAGCTAAAGATATCCTAGATTCGATATCGAAAGATCATGATGAAAAAAGGTCAAACGCAACACGAGAAGATGTAATGTCATTAGAAGAATGTAAAAGAGAACTTGATTGTGTTAGAATATTAAGCAAATACGGTGTAAAAACAACGTTAAAATTTATACGAAAGAACAGAAACGATCCTGATATTGCTAGATCATTGTTAATTCAAATGGCAAGAAGTTTAAATAAAAGGTTGTGTTAAGCGTATAATATTTATAAATTTTTAATAATTTTTTATAATAGACATGAGGTACAATGTATTTATTATTTCAGTTTGATACCTCCAGATGAAAGGGAATGGGCACAATTATTAAATGATATGTTAGAGGTACATGGATTAATTTTTTCATGTATTGCTGTTGAAACCTGTTTCGAAATATGTGTTTCGGCCCGTTTACTTTCCAGAATTAAATGTATTATTCGTAATTGTGTCACCTTAATAGAAACCAAGAAAAATGAAAAATCTTTGTTAAAAGTATCCTATGAGAAAGCGGTTGACCTTATATTAGAAGCGTCCAAAGAATATTTTAATGGTTCAAGAACACTTACCGATCCACACATGGAATTAGCTAAGTAAGTATCTCTTATTAACATAATAGTAATTATATATAATAACTTGTTCTAAAATATAATCTATGTAAATAATTGTTCTAGAACTTGCTTGGATCTTATTGAAGATGATAACGTAAATATTAAAGAAGAATACGATCTTATTAAATCGCTTCAAATACTGAATGAATTTAATATCGATATATTACCTCTTCAAGTTAGATTAACGGTAGATAGATTAAACTTGATTGAACGCTGTTTAAATAATCAAAAAGATGCTTATAAAAATCAACAAAGATTATTAATGTTAGCAACTTATTTACGAATCGAAGGAAATAGCAGTAGACTCCGTGAAGGAAAAATTTTGGAACTAATAGCTAAAAAGGCATTTGAGGTGAGATATAGCTATCTTCTACGTTTCCTTATAATCCAATTTTAAGAGTTTTCTTTGAAAAGTAATACGTAAAGATTGATATAATATATATCATTATTACATTTCTTATTCTACAGACTGAAGATTATAGTACATGTGCCACGATATGTATGCAGTTAGCAGAAAACAATTATCTTCCTGCTTGGGAAATTTGTTTAAATTTGGGACGTTGTGATAATTATCATGATTTAAAAATTAGACAAAAGTGTCTATGGTTTGCTGTAAATAATGGTCCTAGTGATATATTGGGTAATGTTTTAGAACATATGTATTTGTTAGAAATACAAATGCTACATAAGAATTTGGAATTGTGGATGCCCGTTGCGGAATTTGAAAATTTAAAAGATGAAGAAAGTGATACAAGCGAAGATGATTTTACAGATGCTATGACAACGGTAAAAGAAATTACTTTAATGAGCAATACTAATTTTGGTACTTTTCTCATATATAACGCGAGATATAAAAAAAATATATCATGTGTAATTTACAGCCGCAGATAGAAACGAAAGAGTTTGTTCCAAAAATGTTGGAAACTTCAACGGGAATTGTAAAAAGTTCAGCTAACATCATGAAAGAATCTACATTTAATTTAATAAGAAATATCAGTAATACTAATTTTTGGAAGTCTAGATTGAACCTTAACTTTAAAAATGAATTAGAAACTAATGCACAACATGAATTTGAAGTGGAACAAAACAAGAAAGATATGAATCTTCAAAGTTTTCCATGCTATTATGAATCCTTACACGAACTGTATAGGATAAGTGTTAATGAGATAAATTACAATAAGTATTCTATGATAGACGTAGAAAATACAAAATTAAAATGTTGCCAAGCGCTTTTAAGAATAACCATATTGAGTGAATCTTCTTGTTATGGACTAGAAATAAGTGACATTAACCATTGTAAGTATCATATTATTAAAAATATATTTAACAAAAATTTAATCGTAAATGAATTACATTTATGTAACGAAAATTACAAAATTATTTTATTAATTTCAGTGCTTTTAGAATGCGCAAAGTACACTATGTCAAACGATTGGTTACTTAGTATGGCGTATCTATTGAGTTTAAACAGAGATTGTATCTTAGATGCTCAAACAATCTTTATAGATTTACCACAAACTGAATTATATATACAGACTGCACTCTATTACTATTCATTAGAACTGTATAAGAAATTATACGCTAATTGTGAAAAGTTATATTTATACAGTCCATTAGATTTAGTGAAAATTATGCTAGTTGCAGCACAAAAGTCTGAAGAATGTGATATTGTTAAAACATTACAATATTGGCAAAGTCATCTACTCAGTGAAGCACATATTACTAATATGAAACAAGTGAAAGTAAAAGATATAAATACATTAGAACTGGGACAAATTACTACCCGTGTACATTCTGAAGAGACTGTGAAAACCTCAAAGTCCATTAATGAAGAACAGATATCAGCAGAATATGTTGATATTACTAATATTCCATCAAATTCTAAGGCGAATGAAGATCTGAAAATAGTTATCTCAGATGATATTGATGCCGTAGAATGGACAGATGATTGGGGTGATTTTTCCGATGATAGCATGGAAGCAAATAATGGTAAGAAGGGTAAAATTAAATCCAAAGAAATTTCACGAGAAGAAACTGTTCTTTCTTTTAATCGTATCATTGCCGAGTGTGAGACAGAGGAAGATCGATTTAAACTATTTAAGAAACGGTTCAATCAAATCAATAATTTAGAGCAATATCAGGAAGTAAAAAAAATAATATCGCAGTGGCCGAAATTTAATGTGCCAGATCATATCACAATAGATAATCATCCAGTTTTAAAAATGATGAAAGTGATAATTGCGCTTATAGAACCGAATACGGCTGATTTTGAAAAAAGAATATTAAAAGAGCATGAGGAACTCATTGAATTATTAGCGTTTAAGGAGGTATTGTAACGAATTGCATTATTTCCTTTTTTATATAGGTAATTAAATACTATACTTATCTCTAAATATATTTTATATAATATAGATCCTCAAACAGTTTTTGAAGCTCGAACGAGATCACATTAGCTTTATACAAAGCCTTTACATAAGATTATGCTCTCAGGATGTCTTGATGCATAAAGAAGCAGTAACTCTTATTAAAGAACAACAGGTCATTGTCGTCTGTACATTCGCTTACGAGAAGTTAACTCTTAAAACGTATATAACTCAATTTTATTTTTTTCAGACTATTTTGTTACCACCATTAATATTGGAGAAACTTTTCCGAAATGATTTAACAGCACTGTTTAGACCAGATCACATTGTATACAAACAGATAATCGAATATGTCTTTGTAAATGAGTCTCTAACCGGAATTGAGGAAAATGCAAAAATACTTATAAACGAGTTAAAAAAACAGAAATATATACTAGAAGCTTTGCATATTATAAAATTAATGGAGGGAATACCATCGATCTTGTGCACATTCGATACTTGTTTTCAGCTATTAATACAGGAATGAATCCCGAATGTAAAAAAAGCTGTGATGTATGTTGAATATAAAGGGAGATTACAGAAAAGGTATTTATTACAAGTAATCTCTGTTGTATAAAAATATTTAAGACATACATGCGATATGGAATTTAAAGTTGCCTCAGTTATAAAGTTTATTATACTTGATCGTAATGAGGAAGAATGTAAGAAAGACTGAAACAATTTTAAATTCTCCCGCAAAGCTTTCTATGACTATATTTTGAAAGATTTATATATCTTTTTTTGTATATATATATATAAGAAAGAATTTATTTGTAAATATGGATAATTACGAATTACGTTGTAAGGAATAAGAATCAATTTGATGAAGAAATTCGGATAGTGTCTTAACTAATGTATACTCTCATGCCTTATCAATCCTTTTGTGAAAGAGTGGATTTAGCCTCATCAGTGTTTTTCCATCAGTATTTTTCCAAACCAAAGGGAGTAAGCTCCCTCGATTCAATGTATCTCAAAGGTAATAACTGGGTAATAATTAGAGTCCGACCGAAATTTCGGTTTCGACTTTGGTTTCAGTCAGTTTCAGTAAAAAAATCAGAGTTTCGGCCGAAATTAATAGAAAATTTCGTAAGTAAACCGAAACTGTACAAATTGTAACGCGTTAGCGAGCATTCGAAAAACTACATGTTATTGTTGACTGATCGGTGCCGATTGCTGCAAATCACGCCGGCGCTATTTTTTTCTTTCTTTATCCTTTTTTTATTCGCCGAGTCGCCATATGTCTAGTGCCTGAAATTTCTTATAACTTATAAAAAACTTATAAAAAATTCCTTATAATTTAAGGAATAATAAGACATTAATAAAATCTTATTTTTAAAAGTACATAAATTTCACATATTTTCCAATGACTCTCTGAAAATTATATGATGTTTGTAAGATTAATCCAATTTCGGTTTCGTTTTCGGTTTCGGCCGAAATCGAATAAAAACCGAATATTCATTTTCAGTTTCAGCCGAGATAAAAAAGTGGTTTCGGTCGGACTCTAGTAATACCTCCGCAAACGCTATCTCCGTTGGTTTTATCGACTATGATAAGATTGAATCATTTAGTCACCGCGATACGTTATATTGTGCTGCATCGTGTTGTATGCTCAATTACCACTGATGTAAATATCATTGCGCATTTGTACCCTCCAGTTGTGCTGAATGTCAACGATGATTGAGCGTGGACTACGCTCCCCGCGCACATAATCGCTTGTCTAGCTTAGCAAACTGTTTCGTCCATCTGAGAATTTAGTTTGCCGCTTCCTTTGGTTGAATAAACACGTCTTTCAGTCGGGTGAGTCGATATATTTATATATATGTCTGCGGCCACGAATATCCGCTTGCGTATTGCGTGTGTTATTTATTAACGTGCATATTTGTGTTTAAAATACTTAAAATTTTTTATTATTTTTTTTTGTTAAATCTATTGAATACAACAGTAAATGTTGTATTCATTTTCTTTTATTTTAATTTATAAAAAATACGTAATAAATTTATTTATATATTCTTTGAAATAAATTACTCATTTGTTCGATGTTGAAAATTATGTTTAAATGTGTATATGTCTATGTTGCGTGCACTAAATACGTTTTAAATAAAATTAAAGTAATAATATAATCCAATTACCATTTGATAGGAAATGAATATTAAGTAGCCTTTGTTATCACAACAATATCAGGTTTTGATCATTTTTACTAATTACAATTTATTTTTTTATTCTGTTGATGTTACCCCAATCAATTGATAAATCGTTCTCAACACTTCCACACTAATATACAAAAATTCTATAGCTGTAGTTTATATCTGTACAGTTTAACAATTAATCAGCCGAAGAACAAAGAAGATATTCCAGCCACGGTTTTATTTGCTGTTCCAAACGCCCTTCCTCTCGCTCTCTCTCTTCGCTGTGCAGGAAACGTACATTTGTCATCGACCCGGCTTCCCCCTTAATAACTCACGGCTATTTTTGCGTCGTGCATTGCGACAGTATGGAGTACAATGACACGCTGCTCATCCCAGGTCAGCATATACGTCCGTCCGTGACTGAGGAAACGGCGGTCGCACTGCTGGAGCGACTCTACGGTATGAGGGCGACGAGTGTGCGCGAATTGAACTCTTACGACGATCGCAATTACCACATAATATGTGATGGGACGACCGTGAATCCACACACAATCAGCCCAGAGAAGGCCGGCTACGTCCTTAAGGTGATCAACTCCTTGGATTCTCGCAAGACCGATGTGATAGAAGCGCAGACAGAGTTAATGATTTTCCTCAATCAACGAAACGTCTGCTGTCCGTTACCAATTAAGAATATGAACGGCGTGTACTTTTCTTTGGAGACTCTGAAGAGTGAGAATACCATGGAAAAGTATGCCGTAAGGCTGTTGGTCTATCGCCCCGGTGAGCTATTGTATCATGTAAAAATAACCGACGAATTGTTGCGCAAGGTCGGCAGCTTCACCGCAAGAATCGATGAGATACTCATGGGCTTCAATCATCCCGCCTTCGACGATCACAAATCATTATGGATGTTGACTTCAGTGCCTCGAGTGCAGCAGTTCACATATGCGATCAAGAGTTCGTTGGATAAACAGCTGGTGCACGACGTGATCATAAGTTTCCAGAGGGAGGTGTTGTCAATAACAGACCAGCTGGAACAAACGATCATACATGGTGATCTAAATGAGCATAACATCCTTGTGAGTCCCGACGGTAAAGACATTGTCGCCGTAATCGATTTCGGTGATTGTCACAGGACTTGTCGTATTTTTGAGCTAGCGGTAGTTCTTTGCTACATGATCCTGCAAACAGCCGATGTAGAAATGGGTAGATACGTCGTGGAGGGTTACGAAAAGATTAAGAAGCTGACCGACGTGGAGAAGAAGATTCTCAAGATTAGTGTATGCGCCAGGATATGCCAGAGTTTGATAATGGGTGCTTACTCGCACTTGCATGATCCCGAAAATCAGTATTTGCTGACCACACAGAAAACCGGATGGATGTTACTAAAGAGATTGTGGCCCATGAGTCGAGAGGATGTGATGCAAGCTTGGGGATTGACTATTTCCTAAACGAATAATATTGATCAGTTTGCTGAATTAACAATATAAGAGCTTAATTAAGGAACTAAGATTATTTACTGCTTTGGTTATACATTTTTCTATAAATATTTGAATGTATTTAATAATTACCTATTGGAAATAATTAGGCAAAATTATAATTATTAGATTGGATCGGTGTAAATAGAGGTGTTGAACTCAGAATAATTTAGTTTAGCATCACATTTGATATATCTATTGATTTTTAAAGGACGTTATTAATCGATAATTGTATTATTGAGCGTTTTCAATTGCAATCATTTATCACATTTATATATATACTTACATATATATATGGTATATACAGGGTGTCTTTTAAGTAAGGTCCGGGCCACATTGAGGGCGTAGAATGGATCAAGGGAAACAAAAGTCTTATACCATTTTAAGATGTTCACTGTAAAAAATTTCATAAACTCGAGTATCAAGAATAGTCCAATAGAATTAGAATTTTACCGGAAAAAAATTATAAATCAGCATTTCTCTTCACGAAAATCTTCGGAAGGCCATCAGAAAAGAAATGCGTATGCCTAAGACTCGAGATTTATGAAGGAAATATGCGAAAAAAATCGAATAGTTGCAAAAAGCATGTTTTTCGCTTATAAAACGAAAGATATTGATTATATGGAAAAAAGTTCGATATGAAAAATGTAGATATTCCAAATACCTACAAAATGAGACGTGGAACATTAAAATCGTAACAGTACGATAGTGGTATTTTGTGTGAGTATCGCACGCTTGGTTATCTGGGTTTCCAAAACTCAGTTTCAAAGTTTTCAATTTAATTCTTGAGTACTTACAGTGCTCGGAGGCTAATTTGTTATTCCAGGAACATACAATAATCCTTCAGCTTCCTCGTGGAATTCATTTTGAGCAATTTGAGCCATTCTACGAAATACTCGGGTCTCTCGTGGTACTAACAAGGAAACCGACCGTCATCGATTTTAATGACCTTTAGATACATTGTAGAGCATGAAAAAATATTAGACTCATATTTTTTTGTTCGTGTTGTTTATCTCGAGGTTTAGGAGGTGAAACACCCCTTCGAAGAAAATCGTTTTTTTTTTCTTTCAAAACGAATATCGTCGAAACTGTAAGAGATAGAAAAAATTTTCCAAAATGAAAATTGAATGGCTTTAAGAGTATTTTAGAATTATAACAAAAAAATTTTTTTAATTTATTATACTTGCGCGCCATGCACCCGTATATATACAAACGCTGAATTTATACCGAAGGACTTCGAATTTCGCTCTAAAATTTTAGGGACATATCTCGAAGAGTTGTACTACCGATTTATGAAAAGAAAAGGAATTGACTTTTTTTGTCCCTCTAATGTAGGAGACTCCCTCAAGATGTGATAAATTAATCAAATTAGAATCATATTAATATTAAGATATTATTTAAGATGATTTTGGAATAAGAAACTGAATAGACATGTATTGAATAAAATTTTAATATAGATATACCGTACAGTTTTAACAACCGAATTTTAACTAGATATGAAGATATGGCATATGTTTATTAGGAAGTTTGGAATTGAAATTCTTTGCTAAATAAACTTTAAGAAGAACTAACTGCAGTAATGTGCAGTGATATATTCTCTTGTTTTATTCGCATTTTAGGCAGTCACATATTTACATAGATATCATGAACAGTAATGCTTACGTACAATTCTAAGTGTGGAGCCCATTTTACATACCTACATCGTAATATATACAAAAATGTACGTATCGGAACTCATCTCCCTGTCAAGAATTGTTGTTATCATGTGGATTATAACCACAAAATAATTATTTCTCGATAACGCATTGATCAGTAACATGCCGGAGTCGTATTGTTATAAGGTAAGTATCAATTAAATACTTACTAAAATATGACAGCAGTATACATGACACGCCGATGGCAGTTACATATCATTGCACTTACTAGCTGTAATCATTGTAGGATGTATTAAAAACCGTGTATCTTCCTTCAA